ATCTTCTTTGATACTCTATCCAGACTTGACAAGTGGTAATTAAAAAAAAAATGTATTAAAGGTTAGAAATAGTAAGAAATCTGAAACCATACCAGCAAACATTCCAATATTCTGTTATTTTAAAATCCAATGGTCATTTGCACTTTGATTAGACATTTTTAATCATGTATGACTTTTCTAGCAATGTATTTGGTCATTTGGGAAATATTGGGTCCCTGAATTGCATAAATATTCTAAATGTTGACATACTTCATTTTACCATGTGAAAAAATAACACTTGTTAATAAGCTATATCAACGCCAATGTCATCAGAAGACTTTTACGTACCGGGAAGCTGCCAAGCTCACTGTGGCGGATACAAGTTCTCCAAAATTCTGATTTTAACTTGAAAGCAAGCTTTCTATCCTTGGCAACAAACACAACAAACCCTGCCAGTTGTTTTCCTTGAAAACACAGTCTCATTTCATTCATCATTTGAGAAAAAGCCTGCCAAATATCTAAGTCCAAATAATTCTTTCAAGCAAAAATGGTGTTTATGAGAAAAATTAGCATCTAGTTTGGCTTACAACCTGGTCGCACAGGTGCTTTTCTCCGAGACAGCGGTCACACCTGCCCAGGTGGCAAAGTCCCCGATGTGTTCTTTTTGTGTACCTCCCATCTTCTGACACAGAAAATGAACAAGAAAAGGTGTGCATTCAAGGGTCCAGGTTTAATACAGTTAACCATTTCACCGCTTCATCTTACATAGAGCTGGCCTTTTTAAACTGTAAGGTGCCACTCCCTTCATTAGGCCCGAGACAAAGCAGTTTACCTACCATTGCTCTTACTCCATCGGTGTAAATATCAACAATTTTTTTAAAATAAGCAAAGAGCATGTCAGTATTCTTTTTAAAAATATATATTTATATTTTTATTGCTTTTTTATAGAGAGGAAGAGAGAGGGATAGATAGTTAGAAATATCGATGAGAGAATCATCGATCAGCTGCCTCTTGCACACATCCCATTGGGAATGTGCCCGCAACCAAGGTACATGACCTTGACCGGAATCGAACCTGAGACCCTTGAGTCCACAGGCTGACGCTCTATCCACTAAGCCAAACCGGTTTCGGCGCATGTCAATATTCTTATCAATATAGCTGTGGCCTTATGGACCTCCCCCAAAGGATCTCAGAGTCCCCCCACATTCTCAGGTTACACTTTGAGAACTGCTATGGTGGACAGAGCAGGACCCTGTCAGCATAAGGCCACCTCTGCCCTAGCTGCCGGGACAAGAGGGGCTTGGTGAAGTCAGAGGTCCCCTTAAACCCATTGGGACCGTGGTCGGCAAACTGCGGCTCGTGAGCCACATGCAGCCCTTTGGCCCCTTGAGTGTGGCTCTTCCACAAAATACCACGGCCTGGGCAAGTCTGTTTTGAAGAAGTGGCATTCGAAGAAGTTTACGTTTTAAAAAATGTGGCTCTCCAAAGAAATGTCAATCGTTGCGCTGTTGATATTTGGCTCTGTGGACTGATGAGTTTACCGACCACTGGGCTAGGACACAGGGTGTGGGGTATGGCACCCGATCAAATGTGAACGCCACTTTCTAGGTGGCGTAAAGTCCTCCAGTCTTTTTTTTTTCTTTCTTTCTTTCTTTTCTTTTTTATGTGACTTGGAACTTTTCATGTCACATTCGGAGTTTGGCTTCCTGCCCTGAACGAAGTCCTACAGAACTGCACACGATTGGCCGGAGCTACAATCGCTGTTTTCATTCTTGGGCTTGGAGACGGGTCCTGGAGCTCCCTTCCCATGTGTGAGAAAGACCGCTTTTTGCATCTCTCCCATTTTCTACCATTTCTCAAGACAAAGTGTTAGTTTCTAAGGATGCTTGCCGTCCACCACAAAGTATCCGATTCAAACATTGCATCCTTGTCTCCTTTGTCCAGTTCTGCATTTTGTCCGAGGGCGTTTTTCTTCTGCTTTTTTACTTCTTTTCCTTCTGGGGCTGGAAACCAGGCAGTGAGAGGATGACAGGTTCTAAAAGGTCATTTTTGAATAAAGAATTGTCTGCGGGTAGTTGGTGCACAGTGCTGTGTTTTGTACGTTTGAGGGAAGGCGGGGCGGGAGGGGGCGGATGAAGGACTGAGCACTCCTGCTGGCCAGACCTGTCAGAAAGTCCTCTGCCGCTCCATCCCGGACTTTTACATACAGTCCCTCCCATTGCTTATAAACTGTGGTGGAGGAAATGGTAGGTCTCTCCTGCACCTTCAACTTTCCAAAAAGGAAGGTCACTTTATAGGTTACAAAAAGGAGAGGGAGAAAGAGGAAGGGAAAGAAGAGAGGCCACCTACTCTGTCTCCTCCTCTTTATTAGGAAATGATTTTCAATGTAGTTTATATAAGGGACCATTAATACTAATTTCCTTTTTCCTAAAGGAAGAAGTAAAGTAAATAAGATAAGGAGAAGAATAGTAATGTTGATTGGGTTCCAGAGAATCTTATCAGCATCTTGATTGTCGGAATTTTCAGTTGCGTGTGTGGTTGTCTGAGCCCCACACTGTGAGTCCGTCCGTCCGTCCGTCCTTCCCAGTCATTGCCGTCCGCAGAGGTTGGCTTCTAAGATAGAAGGTGCCAGAAAGCCCTGCTCGCTCTCTCCCCCCACCCTCACACAGCCTGAAAAGGGGACAAAGTTTGGCTGCTTCAAGGACCAACCCTCTAGGAATTTCCCTGTTTAACAGATCCTCATGCACGCTCTTCTCTTCGGGAGAAAGACATTGTTTGGCATCGTATTTCTTTCATTTTCCAGTCCCTTTGTGCCCTTGGCCGTTTTCTCATGATTTAAAACAAATGCACAGAAAGCAAAGAGTCGGTGCAGAACAATTGTGGGCTTCCAGCGTTCAGCATACCCAGCAGAGATGGAAATAACCCTGAGCTGTTCCCAAGAAAACCCTCCGCATCGACTCTTACAGCCCAGGGGCCATCAGAGGTGGCTTGATGGTTGCTTGGCAGACCATGGAGTCAGGACTGCCTTGCTGCAGACACTAGATTTTTATTTAAAAGCTTATTTCTTGTTGAGTTGCATTCTCTCTCCCTCTCTCTCTCTCTCTCTCTTTCTCTCTCTCTCTCTCTCTAATTATAGGCTGCAGAGTGAAAAGTATTAGAATTGTTTACAAAACAGCTCATAAAGTGTTGTTTTTTTTTAAAGGGGGGGAGTGTGTTTATGTAAACAAAATGCTGTGTGTGACAGGGACACACACACACACACACACACACACACACACACACGGTCCTTCTTCTTCCACAGTCTATGCCACCTCCAGGATTTAAGGCGTGGAAGTGGGCGATGGAGGCTTTTCCCTCCTGCGACGCTATCCCACACTTAACCCGTTATGTTTATTTATCGGATACCAGTGTGCTGTTGCAGATCAAAATACACACCCTCAGGTGTGGGGGGACAGAGGCACCAATGAAGGGGCTGCCACCTAGTCAACGTGAGGGCACCCTAAATCCCCGTGCAGATGCTGCCTCATGGCATCCAAGAGACAAATTTTTGTTTTATTTTTTTATTTTTTAATGAGCCCTTTGCCATCTTTGAGAAGTCCAAGGGAAACGCTTGTGGCAAGTTTGTGTGCCCAAGTCCAAGGGGCATTGCCGACCCTTCCAGACTCTCCCCTCTTTACAGCCTGGCCAGGATCTCGCAGTGCTCCCCCTGGATTGTATTTATTCTTTCACGTGGGAGAGTAGCCTCTCACTCCGGGCCTCGGAGCCCATCAATCACTTTGCTTTGCAGGTTTAGATCTGCGGCCGCAAAGCGCAGCCTGTGTGCCGGCGGCGCTGCACTGGGTCCTGATAATAGCGGGGCCGGCGCTGACAGCCAAAGGAGGGCTCTGTCCCCGCAGGCGCCAGCGGCTGAGGGCGCGGGCTGGACCGAGGGACCAGCCCTGCTCCGGGAAGCGCCTCTCCCCCTGGTGATGGATGGAGGACAGTTAGGAGGTTTTCAGAGGCTGGGAAAATGTGCCCTCCTTTCTGTGAAGTCTTTGTCAGCAAAAAAAAGAACTCTCCTGGCTAGTGAGTGACAAAATGCAGATGACAGATGACAGCTTTGCATTGCGTTCTACTTGATAAGTGTGCAATGTCTGACTGTGCAGGTGAGTTAATGCGCCTCCAACACCCCCCCCCCACCTCAACCCCCCCGTGGGTGCTCTGTGCAGATGCACTGTGTTTCACAGGCACCTCTGGCTCTTCTGGACCCGTCCTCAGTTTGGAGGGAATGTTTAAAGTGCAAATGGGGGGGCGGGGGGAAGAGGGGATGATACTCTTAGAGACGTTCATGGAGCTGGTTATGGGAATGAAGATGTTGAAGTCATTTATTAGCAGTTCTGAATGTTTATTTAATTCTGTCTCTCCCTTCTGGCATGCAGATGAAAAAAAATATTAGATATAGATATAGATATATATAGATAGCATATATGAATGTATAACACATATATTATATTATGTTGTTTTAAGAGACTAATTCAGATCAAGAACCTGTTTCAAAATCCTTGACGGACGTTTCCTTTGTATCTTTCTCTCTCCCATGTTGCAGGAGCCCATCCGCGGATATTCTGAGCACCTGAGTGGAGAGATTGATTTTTCAACCAGGATACCTAATTCAAGGTATCAGCCCTTGTCAGGAAGCTTTTGCATTTGAGCCCTGTGTTGGAAGAAGTGATATTTTGGCAATGAACTGACATAGGAAAAGTTGGAATGAGACGAAAGGATGAAAGTGAATTTGCAAAATAATCAAGTGCTTTAAAAAAAAAAAAAAAAAAAAAAAGGACCCAGCGCCTGCAGCCTGTGCAGCCTGCTCCCTGCCAGCGAGTGTGCCAGGTCTCCCTTCGCTGAAGCCCTTTTCCTGCAACTGTGTTTGGGTTTGGATCTCATTTCAGTCTCTCCCTCTCGCTTTCTCTCTGACTGCTCAGCTCTGCGGCAGCGAGGAGGCTGGGACACGCTGCCGGCTTGGCGACAGCAGACCCCACAGGATGAAGTGTGCTCGCTGGGCTCTGGTCCTGGCCGTGCTGGGCGCCGAGCTGCTGGGGAGCCTCGGATCCACCGTCAGGTCCCCAAGGTTCAGGGGACGGATCCCGCAGGAGCGAAAGAACATCCGGCCCAACATTATCCTGGTGCTCACCGACGACCAGGATGTGGAGCTGGGTGAGACCCCTGATGTTTCTCGCTTGTTAGTCTCTTCTGCTCAGATGACTCACTGGGTTTGGCACTTTATTCTCCCTTCGTAACCAATGACCTAGATTACAAAAATGAGCTTGTAGGGAGGATAAGGCATTCGGTTTGTGTTTCAACATTACTTTTCTGGTCTTAAACTTTGGAAACAGTCTGCAGGGCTTCAGAGAGCAGGAGGAGGGAGGAAGCCAGGATTAAATATTATAGAAGTTGCCGGGACCGGTTTGGCTCAGTGGATAGAGCGTCGGCCTGCGGACTGAAAGGTCCCGGGTTCAATTCCCGGCAAGGGCATGTACCTTGGTTGTGGGCACATCCCCAGTAGGGGGTGTGCAAGACGCAGCTGGTCGATGATTCTCTCTCATCGATGTTTCTAACTCTCTATCCCTCTCTCTTCCTCTCTGTGAAAAATCAATAATATATATATATATATATATAAATCAATAATATATATATATATATATATAAATAAATAAATATATATATATATATATAGAAGTCAAGGATTTGATGGTGGACCTTGGGAACTCTTGGTCAATTTTTTTTTTTAATATTTGGGCAAAGTTATTTCAAAGAGTATGACATTCTGATTGGAATTTTATATGATATATATGAACCCAGATAGATCCTAGAGGAACGTTCAATGGTTTGTTAGTATCAGCGTGAATGATTTATTCACAGCCTGTAATAATTGTTTGGTAATTGGCATTTACAGTATTTTACATACTTTCTGATAGTAATTCACTCTTGCCCCTTAAGATGTGATGCCTTTCTGAAGACTTAGCTCAGCTGGGTCAACACTAGAGCACTTAGAGAGCCTGCCAACATCCGGGTACCAGCTTAGCTCTGGCTTAGCTGATTGGGTTTCTTATCTTCTCACCTTCCCTATTGGCCCAGCCCCGTGGTCTTGTCTGTACACCGAGGGTCACGTTCTTCCAGGTGACCCCAGGACAGATAATAATAAAAATAAAAAAAAACTTGACCTCACCAGTTGTCACCACCTCTCGTTTCCATTCCTGGGCCCAGATTCCTCACTGCTGGGCACCGCTCGGCTAGGCTTCTCTGTCCAGCACACTCAGCTTCACATCGCTGGCATCTTCTGGACGTGGCACTAGCAGAGCACCTGCCTTCACGACAGGGCTCCTCTGGCTCAGTGTTCTTGAGGAGAAAACCCTCCATGCGGGAACTTGATCTCCAGGGAGGAGAACTTTGATTTCCAATCGGAAACCAAACTGTGCGATTCCATCGACGTTAACTCCTTGGGTTCCGTGGGAAGCAAATGCACCAGCAGCCAGCAGGAGTAACGAGCCACAGCGCCTGCTCTTTCTCACTTCATGTTTTAAACGAGAGTCTAGATTTCGGGCACTATGCCAACGTGAAACATCTTGCAGGTATGACTTTAGTGTGTATGTGGCCGGTGGTTTCAGGTTTTAATCACTTGCAGAGCAAGTAGAATGATGTAAACACGTTTGAATGCGCCTTCCTTAACATCTCTCATCTTCGTCCTTTTGGCTATCGCCAAGCCCTGGGCCATCTGGCTCCTGCCTGTGTCTGTGAGGCTCCTTTCCTTCCCCCCTCTTTGCTTTGTGCTCCATGAAACAACTTCCCTGAAGGAATCTTGTGGTTTCATCTCCCTCACCTGTGTTTCATGCCTCTGCACATCTGGTTCCCACTGTCTTTTCCCCCTTTCTGCACCTGGAGAAGCCCTCTCTGTTCTCTGTGACTCTTTTTAATGCTTTGCCCTGGAGGGATCTTTCCTCACCAAAACCATCCTCCCCTCCAGCAGGGTCCATGGAACTTACCTGTGCATCACCATGGCCCTTAATCCCCCCCTCTCCCCAACCCCCATCCCCAACTTCCATCCCCATCTCTGCCACTTGACAGAGCAACTAGAGGGCAGGGGTGTGTTTATGTGGCAATCCTGATGTTGAGACTGTGCTGGAGAGACAGTAGGTGCTAAATAAACTTGAAATAGACCCAGAAAGGTCTGGAAAAGCTAAGATCATTCCCAGAATTGAATACGAGCTCATAAAACATCTCAAGTGCAGAGATAGTTTAAACAACACATCTCTTTGAGACCCTGCTTTCAATACTTCGGGATATATGCCCAGAAGTAAAATTGATGGCTAATTTGATAATTCTATTTTAACTTTTTGAGGAACCACCATAATATTTTTCATAACAACCACACCGTTCTGCAATCCCACCAACAGTGTACAAGGGTATCCATTTCTTATATCTTCACCCACATTTGTTATTTGAAAGTAGCCATCCTAATGAGTGCGAGATGGTATCTCATTGTGGTTTTGATATGGATGGGTTTTGTGTTGTGTTGTTTTTTGTTTACTTACGTATAATTAAGTTCAAATGCTTGAATACATCTTCACCTAAGCAAAACATTTTACACCTGTAATACTGTAGGCAATTTTAGCTACTGTACCTCCAGAAATATATAAGAGACTTAGAAAAGGCTTAAAAAAAAAAAAAAACCAATTTGGAAAATTGCAATAGAATACTTTTCATTTGGGGGGAAATAGAACAAGTCTCCCTTTTTGTCTGGAAAGACAAAGGCTGAGAAGGGTTTTAATCAAAGTTTATGAACTCAGGCTGGCCAGGAAAGCTCCTATTCAGGAAGAATGGGGGGCCACTCCCTCAATTCAGACTGAGAACAAATAAAATAAACTAATGCTTGTGAAGGGAGTGAGACATAGAAGGAATTCATTAATAAAAGTGCTAGAACTTTGCATATGGGTAATGCTTTATCTTTATCCAAAGAATATTTGTTCTCATTATTACATTTTCTTGTCATCCCACCCAAGTTGGGTGGGAAAGACAAAGATCATTATTCCAGGAGAAAACCTAATTATGTGGAAATACTAAATAAGGTCAGTGGTCTCCTTACTCCTGGATTTTATTTATTTTAGAATTTAAGAGGTTGTTCAGGTCGTGCCTACACCTATAAATAGTTCAGGTTTTTAGACTAAGCAACTGGATGGAAGATTAACACTTTTTATTTTATTTTTAAATATATTTTTATTTATTTCAGAGAGGAAGGGAGAGGGAGAGAGAGATAGAAACATCAATGATGAGAGAGAGTAGTTGATTGGCTGCCTCCCGTACACCCCCTACTGGGGATTGATCCCACAACCCAGCATGTGCCCTTGACTGGAATCGAACCCGGGACCCTTCAGTCCACATGCCGATACTCTATCCACTGAGCCAAACCAGCTAGGACAGATTAACACTTTTTAAAGCTAGGGAAACATTCATGGACACGATCAACATGAAGTTTGGGATGATGGCACCTCTGGGGAAGGAGTGGAAACTAAGAGCATTGACAAGATCCACGTTTCGCTTTTAAATTTAAAAAATATATCTGAAGTGACTATGATGTTAAGCTTTGGTAAAGCTAGGAGATATGTTGTTTATACTGTCTCTGCACTTGAGATGTTTTATGAATCAAAAACAAGAAAATCAGAAATGCTTGTGGATCTACCCTAACTTTTGAGGACTTGAGTAAAAAAGATTAGGGTCTAAATCTTTCCCAAATGCTTCCTGGGAGCCACTCTGAGAAATAAATCTTGGCCGAAACCGGTTTGGCTCAGTGGTGGAGCATCGGTGGGCAGACTGAAAGGTTCCAGGTTCAATTCTGGTCAAGGGCATGTACATTGGTTGCGGGCACATCCCCGGTAGGGGGTGTGCAAGAGGCAGCTGGTCGATGTTTCTCTCTCATCAACGTTTCTAGCTCTCTATCCCGCTCTCCTCCTCTCTGTAAAAAAATCAATAAAATATATTTAAAAAATAAATAAATAAAATCTTGAACTGATTGGACATTGATCTGAATCACTGTGGCATTCCTTATATTCTTGGGAAATTGGGCTGTTACTAACATCTTAGTAATGCTGACCTCACCAGTGCTTCTCTTCGATCATAGTGGAATCAAGAAACCATGAACACACAGAAATACCTTGTTTCTTTAAAATAGAGATCACAAATGGGATATAGACCAGTAGTGCAGAGCTAGCCCATCGGTATGTTTTACTTGACCAGCATACATTTTTCAGATCAAGGCAACATTTTAAAAATCATATTATTTTATGTTCTTAAAAATCCAGATTTCTACTTTTTCTTAAATCCAGAAGAATAAGGGCTTGCATTCCCATGAGGCAGCCTTGTGTTAGCTGCTTGAAGAGGAAGTGAAGCTGACCCCCGTAAGTGTACATGTCCTTCCCAGGTCATCACGGTCCCAGCTCTGCATTGCTCCCAACTCTTAGACCAAGGACAGCTGCCGTTTATCATCACACCCATACTGTGGTTCTCTTTATAGCCAGGGAAGAGTTCTGTACACCCGTATCTCTATCAACTATGAAAAGGCAAAAGTCTTGTGGTTTTTGTCCTCTACCTGGCTGGCTTCACTTGCCTACCTTCTCTGTTTAGCTCCGCAGACATTTAAGTTCCATCCCCTTAAGAAACTAGTCTCCACTTTTAATGGCCTTTTGCTCTTTGAGGGGGAAAATAATGAATCCTAGTGACTAGAGACATTGTGGACAGGTTTACTTATTTATTTTATCTTATTTATTTATTTTTATAATCTTCATTGATGAAAGTATTACATATGTTCCCCTTTCCCCCCATTGACCTCTCCCATCCCACCTCTTTATCTGCTTCTTGGTCCCTTCTTCCCCAACTTTGATTTCCCTCCTCTGGTTTTAGCTGAAGTATCTGTGTGGGGTGTTTTTTTTTTTTCCTACCATTCCATATTTGGATAGAAGACACTATGCTGTTTCATCGTGTTATTTTTTTCTTATATTTTCAGAATTAAAATATTCAATAGACCAGTAAAACTATTCTTAATATGAAAGATATCACTGTCTAAGATTCCATAAGGCATGAAGAACTAACAATGATGTATTTGGTATTGGCCATTTATATGCTTTCAGCACTAGTCTTTCTTCATCACAAAACAATGACATCAA